AATTTCACCTGCCCCCCCTCTGCCATACATTATGAACTCAACCTTACACAAGGTACCTTTGGACTACTTCACCTGGTCACCTTTAAAATCTCTGGGTATTTTGCCTCGTTATCGTGGTTGCCGCGGAGGCCTGTCCTGGTCAAATGGTATACTGAGGTCCATCTGTCAACAGTAGATCTGTTGCTCTACTTCTTCTTGACTTATCGGCTGCCTTCGACCTGGTCGATCATGATATTCTACTACATCGTCTTCAAAATCTCTTTGGCATTAAGAGTAAGGCGCTCAGTTGGTTTCACTCATACCTTATTAATCGTAAACAGTTTGTTAGTGCGCGTGGTCAATCTTCGTCTCTACACTCACTAAGGCAAGGCGTACCACAAGGCTCCGTTCTTGGACCGATTCTCTTTTTGCTATACACATTTCCACTTGGTAGTATTGTAAGAAAGCATGGCATGCTCTACCACCTTTATGCCAATGACACACAGTTATATGTTTCCTTTGACTCAGGTCAACCTGGTGATCATACTTCCACGAAACTTCAAGCTTGCATTAGTGACGTTAGTAAATGGATGGCATCTAACAGATTGAAATTGAATTCCGATAAAACTGATCTTCTTGTCTTTAGTTCTCAATTAATTTCGTCCAAGTACGTCTCTTCAGCTTCACGTCAATGATGATGTCATTGAATCATCTAAGACAGCCAGGAACATTGGTGTAATTCTTGATAAGCATTTGAATTACGATTCTCAAGTAAATGCAATCTGCAAGTCGTCCTTTTTCCATCTACGCAATATTTCACGTATTAGGAAATACCTATCTGTTGATGGTACTAAGACACTAATTCATGCTTTTGTAACTTGCAAACTAGTAGACCGCTGTAATTTGCTGGTCTATGGTCTGCCACAATACCTCATCGATAAGCTCCAACTAGTTCAGAATTATTCTGCTAGACTAATTCACAGACAGAGCAAATATAATCATGTTACCCCATTGATGAAGGAGCTTCATTGGCTTCCTGTAAAGTATCGTATCGTATTGAAGATTCTACTGATGACTATTAAAGCTCTCAATGAACTTGCGCCTGTCTATATCAAGAGTTTGTTGGTTGAATACTGTCCTACACGCTCTCTACGATCAGCAAAGAAATCTCTGCTGAAAGTTGCTACCTCAAGAACAATTACATACGCACGGTGATCGTGCTTTCAGTGTTGCAGCACCGAAGTTGTGGAATACACTGCCCGATAATGTCAAGTCTTGCTGTACTGTAATTAGCTTCAAAACAAAACTAAAGACTCATCATTTTCATAGTTAATCGACATTTAAGAAACTTTTAGATAAAAATAAGTAATTTTCATTCTAATGCTTTTCTTTTAACTTTCACATCACAGCAACACACTGAAATATTTCTCACAAAATAAGAAAAATACTCAACAAAGAGTTCTAAACAAGTATCATTCAGTCCAAAAGTTTAAGCATTCTCCTCACTAGCTCGATCTAGGCTGATAAACTTGAAGAAAAGAATTGCCCCGTGTGAGGATMGAACTCACGACCTTCAGATTATGAGACTGACGCACTGCCTACTGCGCTAACGAGGCACTTCTTGTAAAAAAATCTTTACCAAAGTATTATCTCCCAGTCTCACGAGTTGCCAGATGAAATTGAAGTGAAAACAGCAAAGCAGAAATGTCACACTGAGAAAGAAAAAGCATCCA